AATAAGGGGAAAGGGTACGTGGGATAGCGCATGCTTAAACTGATTCATAAAAATAAGTTCGTTACGGTAAGAGCCTAGAATATCCCCAGCAGAGTCGCCATGCTATCGCGTCCCCTTTTTTCCTCCTCGCGGAGAAAGTCTGGGTTTCGACATTCATGGGGAATTGACTCGTTTCCTTTTGGGAATTAGGTGTTTTGAAGAGTCGCCACCTAATGGATTATGGTGCATTAGGGCACCTAAAGTAATTAACTCATGTAACTAGTTGCATTACCAGAGATTAGGGTAAGGGCTCGAAATAACGGTGGGTCCCGGCCGAACTTATATGAATCAGTCATTTTAATCAAGTAAACAGTTTTAACACATATTTGCAAATAAAGGTGCGTTTTCACATTCTGAATACATGTACGATTCAGGTAATGGGAGCAAGAGAGAGATTTGAACAACTTGCATATATATATATATATGTAAAGAAAAGAGAAGTTCATTTAAGCATATAGGAATTGGGAAAGAGGGGTCCTAGGTTGGTTAGCCTACAGGATCACACCCATGCAATGCCCGGTAATCACTCCTCAATGAGGGGCTACACGTGACATTAGCGCGCCGTCATCATATCCTTACTACCCAATTCCCCCCCCTTGTCATAGCCTAAAGCGTTCTAGCAACCTTAAAAGATACCCTATGCGTGCACTACCCGTCGCTCCATGGTGGCCCTGAGGTATTTAGGACCTCTAATTTGGGTAGTTCTACACTATCCTAAGGTACTTCAAAGAAGAAAAATCTAGGCGATAACCAAAAACAATTAGGACTGGACCAAAGATGGAAAAATTAAAGGCTCAAGATTTACCTCCACAAACAGAGCAAGCAAGTGCACGTCTTAAACACAATTTCAGGTATTTAAGAGAAGCCCTAGAACAGCATATCTAGGTGAGCAGAGAATATGCAGTATTGAGTTAGGACCAAGGGTCAAAGACCTATTCAGTTTGCCTATTGATTTAGACTTGTTAAATATGAGCAGTCACAGATAATAGAGCATAGTTTTACAGTTTGCAGGATTTTTAATCGACCTATAGACTTGCCTAGGCGTGTAATAGTGATGTCCTATGAGCATGGTATCTAACCATTAATCAGGAGTACGAAGAAAAACTAAACAATTTTAAACGGGCAGTTTGGATCCTATAGGCATGCTTTCTAGTAATATTAATTAACGCAACGTTGAATACTATTAAAGAAACGAATAGGATAATTGATTAACTGATTCAGAACCTATAGGCATGATTTCTAATTAAACTGGTTTAGATCCTATAGGCATGATTTCTACGATTAAGGCTGATTTTAAATCCTATAGGGATGATTTCTACGCTTAAAGTTGATTTTTAATCCTATAGGCATGATGTCTAATTATATATAAGGTGAAGCAAGAAGAATTTACTTGACCAAAGCGAAACCCCTATAAGCATGTTATCTAACAAACACACTTGAATCAAATGAACCCTATAGGCATGTTATCTACCCATCTTTACCCGCAGTATACAACTATCCTCCCTTTTCACTAGTCACCCCAATATCTGTTTACAAACCAATGATTGAATAAAAATTACATAAACAGAATAGAAATTAAGCTATAGGGATCCTGAAGCAGGCCCAAAGCTATTTCCAAGCCTTCAATAGTCTCCAATGCCCAAAGTTTCATAGCCAATTTCATGTCCAGGTGCGTCAGAGTTCCCTAAGGACCTCAAGGATCCCGGGCAGTGCTCACACCCAAACCTTTCTCAAATAAGAACTGATTTATGTGTAGTATGGAAGTGCCAACCCTGATATGCCAGAGTTCAGAGAGATCTCAAGAGTCTCTAAGTAGTACACATACCAGAGGGGCAGGACTTAGTAATCTAAGAGTAAGTGAGAGTGCATAATAATGTGAAAGAGTTTGGTAAACAGTATAAAGAAAGGTCTTAGGAGTGAAAAGCGTTTCTAAAAACCAGTACTGATTTGGTGATAAAACAATTTAAGGAAAGTATGAAAAACATGCTATGTAAGCAGTAAACAGAAGCAGGAATGAACTCAGAATTGATGAACTAAGGCAGTAATTAAACACATAGGTTTGGATTCTAAAATTTAATCAGAAGCGTACCAGTTAGAAAAGAAAACACAAGATGTAAGACAGATGTTGCACAATTTCTAGCCTTGGCTTGCAGCCGGCTAGAATAACAAAGATCACAAGTAGCAGAGAGAGCAGAAATAGCTTTTTAGAGTGTAAAAGTAGTGGTTTTGAACTAATGTCTATCAGAAGTTAAAATAAAGAGAGTTTATATAGTAGTTCAGGAGTAGAGTAAATAAGGTAAAGTAATCGATAATTAGCAATTAAGGAATTTCAGAGTCAATCACACAAAGATTTAGCATAGTCTTCTCCTTTAATTAAGGATAATTAGCCAACAATAATGACAGGAACTAATTAAGGCAAGAGGTTCAATCAGACTGAGTAAAGAAATAAGAATCGGAGACCTTATTAAGGAAAGGAATTCAAATCAAACCAAAAATAAAGAACTTCAGAATAAAAATAGGCAAGGGTTTAGTGTATAGAATCAGCAAGTATCGCAGACAATTCAAATAAGGCAAGAAAGGAATAGTCAGGGCTCAACGCATAGGTCTTAACGAAACAAATTGACAAATAAAGAATCCAAATCAATCACTGATTTAAGGAGAGAAATATAGGTTTGCCATGAATAGCCAGAATAAATATAGACATATAGAATCTATAGGGAATTGAACCAAGAACCTTAATAGAGGCACATTAGGATAAAAACTTACAAGACACCGAATTAAGCTAAAGAAAAATCACAGGAACCAAAGCATAGAACAAAATTGGTGCACAAGTAACCGGGACAAACTCAGAGTCCAAACAAAACGAAAAATTAGGATTTTTATCATAAACAAGTTAGGGTTTAAGCAAACTTTACGAAATCAGTTAAAACACATAAGAAATAGAAGATTAAACACTCAGAATTATCAAACGTTTTGGAGAAAGAAATTTTCGGGAAACCCTATTTAGAAAGATGGAAAACCATTCGAAAATCAGAAGGCTTTCATAAAAACCGGTGAAATAAGTCCAAACCATCTCAGATCTATATAGATCTGAGAAGTTCAAAGGAAGAAATTAGGGTTTCGAGAAGAGCAACACAGAGATGAAGAAGTAGGCTTAGAATCCATAGGTTTAAAGCGAAATAGGAAGATCTTAATCGAAATCGAACCGGAACAGCCTGGAACAAGCAAGAAAAGGCCATAGATGTAAGTGGACTGACCATGGTCCCTCGAGGATCTTAGATATGGCAATACCAGCATATGAGAGGCCATTAGAGGTCGGATGGTGGTGAGAAACCACCATGAACGGCAGTAGATGAGTGACGATAAGGGTGAGTTAGTGTTAGGTTTTTGAGAGCAGTTGAGAGAGAAGAGGAACAGATGACGCCGGTGAGAGGAGAGGAAATGAGGGGTCTGGGGGGAGGTCATTAGGGTTTAATTTAGGTAAGGGGGAATCTGGACCATTGATCAAAATGATCAACGGCCAGGATTTAACAAGAAGTGGGTCGAGTAGATAAGGGGTTTGGTCTGGGTAGATTTTGGGCCTGGTTTAATTTGAAATTGGGGTTAAGATTGGGCTAGGTATTTAGGCTAAATTTGAAAATAAGGGGGACATTTGTTAAATACCCTATTTCATTGATAAAACAACTTTTAAAAATAACTAATAGGCTGTAAAAAAATGATTTTTATGCTTGGAAATATTTTAAAATAATTACTTAATATTTTAAAAATATGTAAAAGGCTATTTTTTGGTGAAATAATGTAATATTGCATGCATAGGCTATGAATGCAAAGTAATTGCAATTGCACCCAAAAAATACAAAAGTGGCAATTTGTGCAACAATTGAAGCTTAGTACAAATGCAGATGATAAAATTAAACCACAAAAATTATTATAAAACTATTTGTGATACAATTAGTGATTGTTTTATAAATAAAATGGTGGGAGAAATTAGTTAAAATATTTTAAAATGCAGAAGTTGTATAAAATTGCTAATTGATGCCAAAGCATAGTTTTGAAAATATAATAGGAAAAATTGGGTATCAACAACACCCGAAGGCTACCCATATTAATGACTACGGTCATATAAAAAGGCTACGACCGAAATAAAACAGCTTGGAGACGTCCGACTTCCGCTATAAGTTAAAGGCCTTCAAATACTTTGAAAACCCGTTTAAAATGAGGCTACCCTCAGAAAGCAAATAAAAAAGTCTTCGATAAAATCATTCCTCGAATAATTTAAAGGCTTCAATAATATTAGCCTTCGAAAAAGCCTCAAGAGGCATTAAATTGTCTTAACACAAACGGGTTAAGAAAAAATTGGGTTCTGATCGATTGAACCCTCGAAAAACCCAACGGGTACAAAAACACATGCTAAGGCCTAAAGAAATTTTCACTAAGTCTTGTAGCCGAAAAGAGGGAATAATTATAGCCGCTATAGAGGCCGAATTGCCCCAACTTAAAGAACCTAAGGGCCAACCTAAAAAGAGCCTAAGGGCCGATAAAAAGAGCCTAAGGGCCGATATTAAAAGAGCCTAAGGGCTGATTTGGTAAGCCTAAGAGGTAAATACAATTAGAGTTCGAGACCTCGCTCTCACTCCATTCGAACCCAAGGGTTCGATTATCCCACACGTAAACAAATAATGGTTTGGTTATGGCTCCGGGACTCACCATTACCTGGTATGAGCCCGTAAAGGTCTATGCCCAAAAGCGCGAACTTATTCGAGCTCGACCATTGTATTCTCGAAGAAAACATCTGAGATAAAATCTCTAACACACAGTTAAAGAGGATGAAGTCATTGCAAAAATTTTACTAGGTAGGAAATATCGAAATTCTTCTTTTATATATGTTGAAAAAGATATATACAAGGGGCCGATAAAATGTCTTACAAAAAAAAAGAACGATACAATAAGAAGGGAAAATCCTATCTATGCCCAGGGCTGGTCTCCCCTTTGGGAGCAGCTTCCCCTTCGGGCCCAGCTTCATCATCGGACCCGCTCTGGCAGCCTTCATCATTGTCATCATCGGAGGAGGAGACGAGGAACCTGGCATCGACCTCGAGTTCTTTTGCTTGGGCTATCTCCTCGGTGAGGTCGAAACCTCGAGCATGGATCTCTTCAAGGGTCTCCCTCCGGGATTGAGACTTGGCCAAATCACTAACTCGTTTCTCCCGGTTGAAGACTTCCCTTAGTTCTATTTGAGCAGCCTCGGCATCCTTTAGGTACACAGCAATGGTCTTTTCAGTCGTGGCCTTCGTCCTCTCGACCTCGGCCCTGGCTTCAGCAACCTCAGCCCCGGCTGCGGCAAGTTTGGCCTCAAGCTCATCAATCTTCTTGGCCTGGGCCAGATTTTTTACTTTGATTCCTCGGAGCTGAGTCTCTGTCGAGGCCAAGTTGGCTAGGGCAGCCTCTTTCTCACCAACAAGTCGATCCATGTTTTCCTTCCACTGGTTTCAGTCGGCCTTAACTTGATCGACCTCCCCTCGAAGCTGCCCAATCATATCTAATTTTTGCTGCAGCTGAGACACTAAAGTGTTAGCCTCCACATTTGGGTCAACTAGCTGCAAAATGATGGTTACCTGCTTGTCTAGCTCGGCCTCATTTTGACGAGATTTGGCCAAATCTGACCGGAGGTCCTTGAGCTCCTCTTCTTTTTGGCTGCAAAGGATCCACAGAGCCTTCTCTTCATCCGAGGATCTCTTGAGCTCGGCCTCACAATTGCTTAACTCTCCCTAAACTTGGCAATAGATTACACAGAAAAAAGAGATGTTAGTTAATACAGAAGGAGAAAAAAAAATTGCAACAATAAGAGTTAGTGCTTACCCGAGGAAGAGACGATGAGCCTCTTCAAAGAGGGTAGATGTATCATTGAGGTCGGCGGCGTCTTCGACCCCAGTAAAGAAATCCCGGAAAGGATCTTCTTTGAGGAACCTATTCGGGTCGGGCGTTCGCAGAGCTCGAGCATCCTCTATTGCCTCCTCAGAATAAGATGGTAGGGAAGGGGATTGACCTATTGTCATGGCCCAGAGCAGGTCGCTCGGGGCGCTCTGTTCAGCTTTGGGGTTCTCGATACTTTCCCCCTTTGGTGTACTTTTTGAAGGCGATTAATAATCACAATCTCAGGAGATTCAGGGGCCTTGCCCGCATCTTCCTCCTCGGTCTTCGAGCACGGGCTCTCTTATAATGGGGATCTTCAGGCTTCGAAGCTCTTTTCCTCTTGTTATCTTTCCCTGATTTTGGGACCGGGAACTCAGTCTCTTCCCCGGGTGGGGCTGGCCTCGTCTGTGAGACATCTCTGAAGCCTGCATAAGTGAAAAATAAGCATAAGTGAGATAACTTCTCCAATAAAAGGGAAAGCATAAAAAACCTGGGGGAAGAACTAACCGTAGTGCTTGGCTTCCCATTTGCCCTTCGATAAGTCACACCATTTGCGCTCGTCATACAAGGAGGTCGCGGCTAGTTTCCGGACCCAGCCTTCATGGTCAACGATCACATGGGGCATCCAAGCGACAGCTACAAAAAAAGTAAAGGCATACAAAAGGCAGGAACGGCGTAAAAGAAGATACTGGGAAAGGGACTTCACTTACGATTGTAATTCCATTTCTCCTGGAATGACATTTTTCCCTTAGGGATGACGTCCGAGGTCCTCACTCGGACGAACCGGGTCATCTAGCCTCGGTCCTTATCCTCTTCATTACTAGCAAAGAAGGCTTTGCTTGATCGATGTTGAAGCTTGATCAACCCTCGAAAACGATGAGGCCGATACAGTCAAATGAGATGATTGAGGGTAAACTATAATCCCTCGGCCTTGCTGGAGAAGTAGCGGAGCATAATCACGATACCCCAGAAAGAGGGATGGATCTAGCCGAGGGTAACTTCATATCTTTTGCAGAAGTCAGTCACGACTGGATCAAGGGGACCCAGTGTGAAGGGGTAAGTGAAAACACTTAAGAACCCCTCCACATGAGTAGTAATGCTTTCCCCGGGGTCGGGGATCTGTACCACGACCTCGTCCCCCCAGCCTCAGTTTTTCTTCATGGCCTTGTGATGCTTCTTCATTATCGAACTAATATATCGGGATACATGCTCGCATTTGCGTGGGATTTCGGGGGGATTTTCAATGTTGAAGTCTTTCTTTAACACGCAGGGGTCGGGAATAATCTCGTGAAAGGCCGACGCCATAAGTTTGGCCGGCTGGGAAGAGGATGAGGAAGCTTTCTCCTTTTGGGGAACTATCTTCGAAGTTTTCGCCATTAATTCGAGTTAGAAGAAATGGAGATAGGCGGTGTTTGGTATTTTCCGATACTAAAAGGAACGGGAGTAGAGGATAATGAGAGAAAAGAGATGAAGAGAAGGAGATATAGAAGAAGTTCATAGGTGGTTTGAAGATTGAAGTAAAGCTTTCTCCAAAAGTAAACCTTGTATTTATAGGTGCGCGGTGACGGTTCAATGGCGCTAGTGGCCGACCATCATTGGAGAAACATTTAATGTTTTGGGGAAGCGAACCGAAGGGATGTTTCGGTCACTTCGAGCGCCTACATCACGGGAATGACATCATTAATAAGGGATCTAGAAAATTGAGGTTCAAATCATTTCTTATTATTTTACTCTAAGAAACGCGGGGACTATCTGTATACGGCAAAATCATGTGCCCCCAATTTTGTGGGCTCGAGGGCTCACATCGAGGAATAGAGGGCTCGCATCGAGGGATAGACTCAATAAGGACCGGGTTCGAGTTCGGGGGCAGAACACAAGGCTCGAAGATCGAAGTGCACGATGAGTATCGAAGCAGAATATGACCAACCCCGAGATGGTATCGTTATGGGTTTGTAACAGAAAGAGCAAGATTCTCTCCACGTCCCCAAGATCATGGCGTAAATTCCGGAATAGATTCGTACGAGTTAGTATGAATTCTTACTATGTGGTTATACAACTGTCCCAATGAGATTCTTTACTGTAAATAGAAATGTACCTTATTTAGGGTTCCCCTATTATATAAAGGGGACCCCAATCATTTTTAACGATCATCAATCATTGACTAATACTCTCTTACTTTCTTGCTCATATTTCATCAGAATTGTCGTTTAGCTTTGTTGTTCTTACTTTATTGTTCTTGACCTACCTCGAGGCCACCTTAGTTCGGGGTCGAGACTGGCTTGTATAGTGGTTTGATTTTACTTACTTCTTTCATTTATACGTTAGACTTCTTGGTTATTAATTAGTATTGAACTAAATCACGTATCTTTAAAACCATAAACAAGTTTAATTGTTACTCGTATTTTTGAGGTAAACAATAGGAAAGACAGTCAGATTAGAGTGAAGGTCGCATTATTTGGATAGTGGTGGTTTTCTCCACTTATATGTTTATGTAAAGTACTTCTTGGTAACACAAATATTGTACGTTTTTCGTAAACTTTGTGTGCTAAATTATTTGATTACTTCAATAAGAATCTACCCAATTCCAACAAACTATTTTCATGTTATGACAAACAGAGATGAATTAATTAAAAGGTGGCCATAAGATTCACGAGGTTTGGAAGATATGCTCATGTACTCGGACAAGGGTAAAAGGAAATACTTACTATATGGGTTATTCCTCAAAAGAAGGATATCAAGAATTAACAAAGAAAAAATAGTTTCAAAGGAGAAACATTTTGGTTATCCCTTATTTTTTCTTCCATAAAATCCTCTTGAGAGTTTAGAAAAGTTAGTTCCCTTGATACACCACGGTGATTGGTGCCTTGGTGGGTGTATGAGGTAAAATTGGTTAATGACATCCGGGCGAATGACGGAGTGGCACGTGGAACTAAAGACATGTTGGATGTGAGTCAGCAAACAACTGACATCGGGTACAAGCATGCGATCAAATAAATCCCGAAGACAGAGCAGCCAGTAACAAAGATTCGATTCATTGTCATCGGATATCATTCAGCGAGCAGCCATTATAGAGAATATCTGCATTTATAACCAACCGTTATGTACCCATCAATGATGATTTTAACCTCATTTAACGGGGGCTTAATTTGAGGATCTTGTCTCCCCGAATCAAGCTGTAAATAGGAGGATTAACAATCATTGATGGCACGAAATACTCGATATATAAAAGAGCTATAATCTACTGTCATAATACGCTCATCTCAGCGCTTGAACAATGCTTTCAATTTTATCATCAGAAAGGCTAGATTCTTAGCCAGTCTTGTTATCTTCTTTAATTTCATTTGATAATCTTATTTTTGTTCTCATTTACTTATTATTTCTGGGTCAAATCGATTCGCTTATCTATGAACCACGATATAAATTCAACTATTCCATTTTACGGGTAAATAGTTTGGCGCCCTCCGTGGGGCATAGACAATTGTGTAATTTCTTTGATCCATTCGTCTGTTACTAACAAATTTTGATTCTTTTCCTAGTAAAAGAAAATCAGATATGGCAGTTAATAATGGCAACAACTTTTGCAATGTTGGAGCACACGATGAACGGGAAGAAGTGTTCCAGTGAGATGTTTCAATCAGTGGTACCCGTACCGAAGGGGATGAAACCATCCCAGTTCGCGAAGGTCAATATCCTCTCCATGTTCGGTGCCCAACTCATGATGATGCAGAGGATGAGCACGTTGCTGAAACACTCAAAATCCTGTGAGAACAACAAAAGGCGATCATAGATCACCTCTCGAGGAAAGATCGTGTGATGACAAAATTGAAGTAGGAATAATCGGGTACATCCAATAACACTAATGGAAGGGCTACGGCTCCTCCCTGCATTACCGCAAATCAAACGCCTCAAAGAATCAATAATAACACTGCAAGGGATGAAGTCGGTTTCGACGAAGCCAAAGGGACTGGTTGTGGATCTGGGAACAAAAACGTGAATGATCCTTTCAAAATCGAGCTCATGAGATTCTTGAGAGAAATGAATGAACGAATGGATCAGAACGCTCGGATGTATCAGATCCTGGGTATGCCGCCAGTGTTAAAAGGACCAGATTCAAGGAAGTATACGCAGTTGCCATTTAAATTAAGCGTGGCATCGGAATTGATCCCAAAGAGGTTCAACATGCCGGATATCCCAAAGTATGATAGGATGTCGGACCTACAAGAGCACATCATGACCTACACCATGACAGTAAAAGGAAATGACTTGGCTCAGCATGAGATTGAGTCGTTTGTATTGAAAACGTTTGGCAAAACCCTTACGAAGGGTGCCCTGATATGGTATTTTCTCTTAGCTGAGTATTCAATTGATTCTTTTGAAATGCTTGCAGAATCGTTCATCAAAGCTCATGGTGGAGCAAAAAATGTCCAGTCTAGGAAGCCGAACAAATTCAGAATTTCTCAAGGAGAATCAAAGTTGTTGCAAGAATTCGTAATCTTGTTCCAGAAAGAAAGAATGTTGTTACCAGTGGTTCTGGATGAGTGGGCAACGGAAGCATTTA